ACTGCCAACTCTTGGCCTATTTGTAACTTTGATACAGTATTACTTCCTTAAATTAAAAGTGGATAAATGTCTAAATAAAAAAATACTTGTCAGTTCTTGGATCCTGTTCCTGCTCTCTACCAAGTCTTTTTCTGAATTCTCTAGCTGGCCTGAAGTAGAGAAAGTAGTTTATGTTTTAGGTAACCTAAAACTAAGGCACATTTTCAAAATATGTATAAGCTTCCATAGCTAAACAAAAAATAGTATTTTTATCATTGAGAAGACTAAGTTATATTCACACTACAAACCACCAGTAGTGCAATGTTTATTCACGATACTCTTTACAATAATGTTTCAACCATAAGCTTTAATATAATATTCCTTACGCTAAATATGTTGAAAAGAAACAAACCTCTAACTTTATATTATTAGGTGTGTGTGCACGTGTGTATGTATGTATGTATATATATATGTATATCAAAGTTTATTTACATGGTATCCTAGAAACTGAATATAATAAGATAAATGTTTATGATATTCTTTATACTAAATGGATACAATATCTGTTTCGCCAAATTGAATAACCAGAAATATTCATAATTTGTGAGGTGAAGAACAAGTAAAATAACTTATAATTTATGAAATCAATTCTTACATTTTAACTTTTCCACTTCTTCAGATATACTCAAAGAACCTGAAACATTAAACACTTACAATTAAAATGTAATAATAATTATAGTGCTTTTGCATAAAATTAAATAAAATAATACTGGAAATTGAGGTTTTAAAAAATTGTAAGGTATAAAACTAGACTAAAAATACCATATTAAAAAATATTCTTGATCAACATCAAAACATACACTGAAGAGATTTAATCCATTTTAGGATTAGTTCAACATACACCTTTTATTAAAAAGGTGTACAACACATTTAATATTCAATGTGTCCACTCTTCTATTAAATATTCAGTCATACAGTGCACTATACATTGAACTGGATTTGCATTATTTTAATTATAAAAACCAAATTATCTTATTTCTCAAATTTCTGAACTGCAACTTCATGTTAGCTATAGAATATTGACAATGAGCATAGTCACTTGAGGAAGGGCATCTGTTCGACTGTTTGTAGTTAAGCATCAGGCTAAGCAACGAGCTACCTGTTTTGTGCCCACCATGGGTATAAAAACCCAGCCTTTAGCATTATAAGGTTGCAGACTTACTGCCGTGCCATCAAAAACCTTGTAGTTAAAGTAACAAAAAAACAAAACAATGAATATATATATATATATATATATATATATGATTATACATACATATATGTATGTATGTATGTATGTATAATCATATTTTACCCAAACAACAATACATTATTAAGATATATCACAAAAAAAACACTATTAATGGGATTCCTATATAAAAATAAGGTATTTTAACATACAAAATAAACAACGTTTTAACAAAACTATACAAAGAAAGTACTTTACCATTGACAGATGCATCTGTAGTTATAAACTTCTCACTGATGATATCCACTTGGATTCCTAAAATGAGTTAAACAGTTGTCAATAGTAATTTTCCTTTTAAGTTAAAACAGCACTGAAATCTACCCTCTTTTGCACAAAAGATAAGTGACTTTCTTTTGTACTATGTGTGCACACTTCTTAAAATGGTGTTGATCCTTTCCACATTAACTACGTTGAAAGCATATTGGAGATCAGCTTAAGTATCTTAATTTAAACATTATCACCTCATTTAAGCCAGAAGATACACCCTGTATTTGAAAGAGAGAGATTTTTCAAGATACTTCAATTTAAACAGCTTGAACACTAAATAGTTGCATCCACATGACCCTTCTGTTATCCCTTCCTATTTATAGTCATTAAAAGTTATTTTACAAATATACATACATTAAAATTCATATTATATTTCCATCTGCTCAATCTTATCATCTAGTTTTAAAACAAACTATAAACCCATTCAGTATAATGGATAACCCTCAACAATTAACCCTTGTTGTCCAATATCTTAAGTCTTGTTCTCTATTTCTCAAAATACTAAAAATTATCCTTTTTCAGTTACCTATAAAATGTCATTCTTCTAGTCCAGGGGGTCTCCAAACTAAGGTCCGCGACTTCGGTTTATCCAGCCCGCCAGCAGTTTATTAAAGTAATAATATAACTTTTTAATATTATAAAAACAAAAAATAAAACTAAGTTGAGCAAAAGCCAATCTAGTTGCAATATGGCCCGTATAATTTTGTCAGAAAAGCATCAGTTTCATGCTTCTTACTAATGCTAAAAAATGACGATTAAATATTTTCAATACATGCTCTTATGAGAAACAAATTAGTGATGTTGTATTCTAATCATGTATGCATCCTTACTTAATTTAACCACGACCCCTCTGGCCCACGAAGCCTAAAAAGATCGACCTCCCGGATCTTGTCCAAAAAAGGTTTGGAGACCACCTGTTCTAGTCTATCACACCAAACCTTACCTTCCATTTTATTACCCAGTATAAAAGAAACACAATCTTGTTGGGCAACCAAGTGAATTTTACCTTCTAATTCATGAAACATATCTACAAATTTACCATCCACTGATTCTTATTTTTTAACCCAGCCATATCATAAAATTTTATAATCAAGCTTACTGTTTGTATTTTACAGGCACTTACTCGTGAGTCTACTACCACACACTATTGTTAGTTTCTCTATACAGGTGGAATAATCTTTTTACCTTGTGGTTGCATCACAACTCCATTTGTTTCAACTATATCAAATATTCCATCTTCGTTTTGTTCAGTTTTAAGTTTTTCGAATCGAGCTGGAGAAAAGGAAAAATAAAATTAATGAAATAGAAAATAAAATATGATAACATAACACCTCAACCAATAATAAAAACTCAATGATACAAACATCCATCTGCAGCCTTTAAAGTTTTTTTTAACTTTTAAGAAGGTTAAATGGAAACTGGTTAAAATAAGATCCTGCACCGGATGTTTTTACTCAAAATGTATCAAAATACAGTTTTACACTATTTCAGTGAGAATGTTGTTATAACTAAAATATATGTAATAGGAAGAAAAAAGTAATTTGAAAATCACAAATTCTACCCATTATTTTTTTTTATGTAAACTTTATAAAGTCATAACATAATAAACATGTTAGGAGTAAAAAAGTATTAGATGACCATTATTATCTTACTTCATACCTTTCATAGCCATTAACTGCTCCTTAGCAAAATCATTATCTGCTTGTAAGCTCTCTATCTGCAATACACAAAATCAAATATTTTATTAATTCACACAACAATATACATGCATGAGAAAACACAATTTATTCGATATACAAAAACCTACAAAGCAGGAGCTTTCTTTGATACTAACTGTAATAATAGGATAACAAATATCAAGAAATGTTAGACATTTATGGAAATCAAAATAATTGCAAACAGTCCACTTGTTGACTGATACTGCCACCAGTAATATCTAATCAAAAACACCTTATTGTTTGTTTGTTTCACATTTCACGCAAAGCTACACGAGGGCTATCTGCACTAGCCGTCCCTAATTTAGCAGTGTAAGACTAGAGGGAAGGCAGCTAGTCATCACCACCTACCACCAACTCTTGGACTACTCTTTTACCAACAAATAGTAGGATTGACCATCAAATTATAATGCTTCCAAAGCTGAAAGGGCGAGCATGTTTGGCGAGATGGGGATTCGAACCTGCAGACTGCGAATTGAGCTTCCTAACCATCTGGCCATGCTGGGCCAAAAACACCTTAAGAGTGAAAAAAAAAAGTGTGGCAAAAAAAGGATGCAGCATGCGACTTAAAAGAATGAAATCAAAATTGCTGGCCAAACTGGTAGCTACACTTACAGCATTGTTAAGAAATATTCATTCATCAGTTAGCCAGGCCCCATTTTTTGTTCAACTTTGGGCATGATGGTGAATAAAATAAAATATTTATATGACTTGAATGTATGAATATTTTGTGTTGGAAAAAGCTATCACATGCTCTTCCTAAAAGCAATAAATTTTCAGTGGCATCGCACTACCTATAAAATGCCAAATAATATCAGAATCTAGTTCTGATATGTTATTCCACTGTGATTTTATATTGGCTGTGGTTGTCATATAAATAACTGATTTGCATATTCAAAATTACTTTAATATAACATACTGAACTCTTTGTATTAATACAACTTTTACATGTTTACATAACTAGTGCCTTCTAGTATCAGACAGATATATCATTGAATCTAAGTTTCAAATGGGCAGCAACTGCCTGTTGTAGAAACCTACAAATGTAGAGGACGATGTTTTGAAAGTCTTCCGCGAAATACTTTCGAAACATCGTCCTCTACATTTGTAGGTAAGAAAATCACAGTATTAAAAGTTGGTAACTTAATTTAGTTTATAACATATAACAAAAAATTCCAAAATTCAATTTGCCTAAAAACTGTGTATTTACCATCTATAATTGTTGGACTATTGACTTGTAAACAAATAATGAAAGTGAAGTAGGATAAGGTCAGTCATATGTATTAAAAAAAAAGTTACTTGTAGTATTGCGTATTCTGTTGTTCACTAAACTTTTTATTGCTTCGACTGTAAAGTACTTGCTGAATTGAGAACGTATTTTGGGCCTCAGCTTATAAATGAGCAAACTCTAAAAGTCTTTGAATAAAAGAGTTTGGTCACTTAGAAGCTAAAGCCTGAAAATAATGTTCTCAATTAAGCAAGTACACATATTTTGTTTGCATGAAGTAAAGGATTCATTAATTCTTTAAAAACATAGAGAAATTAGTAGAAAAATTTGAATGTGATAAATAAATAAATTAAACTTTTGGAGATAAAGCACCTTAAAAAACTATGTTTGTATTTTATTTTCTTGGTGACATTTTGAGCATGTGCTCTTTTTCAAGCCAGAAACAAACCTGTCTGTTAATGACAACTACAAGAAAGTTTTTGTAGTTGTCATGAACTGACAGGCTTATTTTGGGCTTTAAAAAGAGTGTTTGCTGAAAATGTCACCAAGAAAATAAAATGCAAATATGTTCTTTTATAATGAGAAATGATTCTAACTGTGAAAATACAGTACACAACACACACACATGTGACAGTTTTGGTCCAAAGAAATACTTTGAAACTATGAAAAAACAACACTGGTAAAATAATGACAGTCAAGTAACATTTACATAAAATAAACATCATAGTAAATAACCTATGTTATATTCATACAAGATATGTTCATTTAAGACAACAACTGTATTTATGCATTTCACAAGTTTCCGTTTACTTTATTATAAACAGACCTGTGCTGCTAATACTGTCTCTTGTTTCTTCATTTCCTCCAGCTGGTTTTCCAGTTCTTGTTTTTCCTCCTTAATTTTATTTGACATTTCCTCTTCCTTATCTTCTGCCTCCTGTACACAGACATGTACATACCAACATGAATTGTTATTCTTACATATAAAGATATAAATATGATCCATTATAAATGTGTGTGTTAGCATTTGTCACACAGACTTAGCTGGCTCAATTGCAGTAAATGTTTTGTATGGTAACTGTAAACTATCCAATGGATATTCATAGGCTATTTTGTTTTAGGATTTTTGCTCAAAAAGGGGGTATAAAAACACTCTAAAATAGAACATATTTACACCTTTTTTTTTATAGACTTTTGACTTCAAATTTAAAGACATAAGTACTTAATCAGTTAATTACAAAGCAAGGTATGTAATTAGCATCTAATGAGGTCATTAGGAATTTACTAAAAGAAAAAGGGTGTTATCTAACATTGTTCTTTACACAATTTTAACCTCCTTAATGGGTACCCACAGTTAGTGTTGCTAAAAATGATCAATATTAAGCATTAGAATAAAATCATTATAAAACTGATGCTGGCATATGGCATCACCTACTGTTTTCTGTGAAACAGTGCACAACCCAATCCATCATTTTTCTCCTAAGTTGTGTGTTAGTAAACACTCATCATTATCACATTTTTGCAATGTTCTATAAAAAACACACACACAAAGTACTCCTTTATACCAGACAAAATACAAAATCAAACATTTGAAAGAAAAAAACTATATTATATCAATAAGAGAAATAAAAAAAAATTATAAAAAACTACATTAACTAAACGAATAATCAGCATACACAATTCCACATATAAAGGATAGAATAAAAATAATTATCGATAAAGTAGGAATTAGCTTACCTTCAGTTTCTTTGTGAGTTCCTTTATTTCTTTCAAGTGTTCATCATTTTTTGAAGCCAAAAGCTGGAGTTCTCTCTGTGTGTTTTCATAGACATCATGAAGATGGTTACATTCTACTTCTGCTGCAGTCAAAGAACTCTGATTGTAAAAAAAAAAAGTTTCAGAATAATTTTTGCATATATATATTTCCAGTAGATAATGTACTGGTTAGGTTCTGTCAGAGAGTAAGCCAAATACACATTTCTGCATTTCAGATACATATTATACACTTAACTTGAGTATTAAAAAGTTTCACAAGTTCTTTACATGTGTCTTCTGTAAGAATATTTCTTCTTTATAATTCTTACTTTCAAGTTTGAAAGTAATGTTATCTAAAAATAAAGAAATATCCTGAAATTTTAAGTGAAGTAAAGGAAATATACACTTATCAGAAGTGTTACTACCTGCTTATCTACCAAAATAGTTAAATATTTGAAATCAAACTAGTACCTCAAGATCTTGAGCCCTTCGTACTGCTTCTAGCTTTTCCTGAAGAACTTTTCTTAGAGATTCCTAAAAAAATGAGATTTGAATTTCTTTTTTTTGAACAGAAATATTGCAATTTACACAATTCAAGCCCAAAAAATGTTTACATGTTCAGCATACATACACAGACTCTTACTCCATACTGAAGTCTTTGCACAATGTATAAATACCAGAAAAGAAATATTCTAAAGTTCTAAACAAGATTTTTTTTTAAATTTCTAACTTCACAAAGATTAATTGTCACAAGCATAGAAGAACAATTTTATTTTCAATGCTGCAAGAGAAAAACTGAAAACATAAAATATACAAAAGAACTACTGATTGTTAAGATAAAATCCCAAAACCAAATACTTTCTGTGAAATATTTCCAAAGTATAATTAATAAGTATCATGCCCAATTTAAACAGAATGCACTGGATTTAATATTGAATTAAGGGTAATGTTGTAAAACATTCTGTCACCCAGTTTATGCAATTTAACTTTTAATGTGTACATTTCTAATTACACAGTTAATTACATCAAAAACTTGTGCTTTACATATAATACTAGTACATCAGGTACCCAAATGGTAGCAGTTTCTCACACAAACACCATACAAACTTACAGTTCCTGGTACTCGCTTTCACTTAAAAGGTTAAAGGAGATTTATATTACTAATTTAGTGTGACATAACCACTTGTGGATTAAAGTTATTATTATTACGATTGCTTTTCTGTGGAACTTTGTGATGCTATCTGTGCTAGTTGCCCCTAATTTTGAAGTGATAAACTAGAGGGAAAGTAGCTAGTGAACATCACCTACTGCCAACTCTTGAGCTATGCTTTACCAAAAAATAGTGGGATTGACCATCACATTATAACACCCATGCAGCTGAAAGAACAAATATGTTTGGTGAAGGGTTTCGATCCAGCAACCATCAGATTTTGAGTCAAGCACCCTAACCACCAGGTTATACCAGACCCTTATTGTTATTACTCATTCATTTTATTTCAATGTAGAGAACTGAAACCAAGAAGAATGAAAGCAAAAAAAAAGAAAGTTTTGAAATTACACAATCTACAGATCAACACTGATACAGGCCTTTTAGTGAAGGTGTTATTGGCAACAGTGATTAATTTGCCTGAGATTCTCTAAATAGAATAAAACTTAATTAAACACATCAATTTCATTTCCCATAAGAAATACTCTCTCTTTCATTATGTAAAAATATTCATTCATATTACATTTTCCTAATTAAAGAACTAATTATTAAACATATTCAAAAATAATATAAAAAGGGTTACCATAATGTATACAAATAAATATGTGCTCCTGCAGTATTTGAAAATCTGATAATACCTATGCTGATTAAAATAGCTGTAAGAAAACGTGATCAAGATTTTGACTAAACTTCCTTTTCATTCAGCTATTTTAACAATTTTAATACTTTCCACAGACAAAATTCGGCCTGACTATTAGTAATGTAAATGACAGGCCCACAGATAGGGGGATGTTTAACGGATTTGATCAAACCTGCCTTGAATGGTGAAGTCCCATTTTCAAGACAAAACTACTGACTTGCATAATTAGTATTAATCAGTGATGCATTATTTAATCACATGATTATTAGTTACTATTATTAGCATAATTAAAGTACTTATATTACTTCATATTCCTATATTTACAACTAAACCGACAGTTTGTCTTAGATTGCATATTTTCCACACATTAACTCTTTCGACACAGGCTTGGTCACTGGGACCAACCTCATAACCATTTTGTGCTTGTTATAGTTTTCATGCTATAACTTTTAAATTAGTAAGCGAATGTTAAAGAAATTTGGCAGATTATCAGTAAAGATTACAATGCGTTCATAAGCAAAATATTAATTTTTTCATTAAGTCTCAAGGTTTACAAAACAATGTTTTTCTCATGCCTTTCTTTTTGCGTGTTGCCTATCCAACATGCAAAGTAATTTTCATTTTAAGATTAAAAATACTTTTATGCATCAGAAAATTTTCAAATTTAATAATCAAAATCTTTATAATGTCCAGATATTTATCAAACGTTTCTTAAGAAAAAAACTTCATATTTTATCTGTTATTTTCAGTAATGAATCTCTGTACGGGTTCGGTAGATTTTACCAATCTCGTAACCACCATAAAAAATTAGGAAATAAATATATATTATGCCTCTTTCATTCTAGAATAACAACAAATTCTAACACGAAAACATAAATGTTTAGACTATAGTTGAATAGTTTAGACTAAATAGCTTAAATCTCATATCATTATACATTTAT